CACACACACACACACCTACACACACACAAACACACACACACACACACACAAACACAGAGATGCGTTGGTCAGATCACATAATCCCGTCTTCCCAGAGTGTGACGGAAGTCTCAGCAAGCTTAGCTGACTCTTCTGGTCTATAGTCTCTGGTCTCTATAGTCTCTGGTCTCTCTAGTCTCTGTCCTCTGGTCTCTATAGTCTCTGGTCTATTGTCTCTGTCCTCTGGTCTCTATAGTCTCTCTAGTATCTAGTCTCTATAGTCTCTAGTCTCTGTCCTCTGGTCTCTATAGTCTCTCTAGTCTCCAGTCTCTGTCCTCTGGTCTCTAGTCTCTGTCCTCCGGTCTCTATAGTCTCTGGTCTCTATAGTCTCTTGTCTCTATAGTCTCTGTCCTCTGGTCTCTATAGTCTCTCTAGTATCTAGTCTCTATAGTCTCTAGTCTCTGTCCTCTGGTCTCTGTCCTCTGGTCTCTATAGTCTCTTGTCTCTATAGTCTCTGTCCTCTGGTCTCTAGTCTCTGTCCTCTGGTCTCTATAGTCTCTCTAGTATCTAGTCTCTATAGTCTCTAGTCTCTGGTCTCTATAGTCTCTAGTCTCTGTCCTCTGGTCTCTATAGTCTCTCTAGTATCTAGTCTCTATATTCTCTAGCCTCTAGTCTCTGTCCTCTGGTCTCTATAGTCTCTAGTCTCTATAGTCTCTAGTCTCTGGTCTCTATAGTCTCTCTAGTCTCTGGTCCATTTCCAGCTGAATCAGGTGCAGTTTGTGTCTGTGTGAGCCTCAAACTACTGGACTGAGATCTTGTGTGTATTTGATGATTTCAGAGCCTAAACTGAATCCATCTTCTAAATGATCTGCGTGACTCACTCATGTATTAATGCATCTGTTAACCACGTTAACATGTGTGTGAATAGACTGGTTTATCTTTGGTGTCACCAGAGATGATATGAATATGAATATGTATATAAATAAACACAGAGTTAGATTTTTTTTCTCCTGCGTGGGTTCATTCAGCTCTGATGTTTTCGGCGCGACAGGAAGTGAGACGAGATGATGTCACCTTGTATCCCGAGGACTTGATGTGAACGCCTCTCTTCGTGAGCGTCGACTTCATCCTGACGAAGAACGATCGCTCCAGCAGGTTATCGGCAGCCAGGAGGCTGGGACTGCTGGACTCCACTGAGGAGACAAGACAAACATCAACTTATTTATTATTATGGAAAAATGGAAAATAACGAATAAAGACGCCGCCGTCGGAGTTTCAGCACACTTCCTATAAAACACATAGACAGTAAATAAAGAGAGCGGAACGATTTTAATCGGTGTTAAACAAATAAATACATTCTCTCTGTCAGCAGGAGCCCGTCGGCCAATCACAGCCGCTGTCAAGCTGTCAATCATCTCAAAAGCGGCTCGCGGCAAATCAAAACTGTCAAAAACACGTCAGGAGCCGAGACGAGAACGAGACAAATTAATCTGGAATATCCCACTTGTTTGAAAAAGCTGTACTCTTCTTGAGGTCGTGACTGTCAAAATAAAAGTCCTTTTCATATTTGTGACTGTTGTGACGGTCTTTCAACCTTCAGAGGCACAAAAGACGCATCGTCCAATCAGGAGGCGGCAGCGGTTCCTGTGAAGGTGAGACGCTCCGTTTGCCAGCCAGAAATCAGCTGCATATTCATAACGTCTGCATCCATCAGAGGGAGTGATGGGAGGACAGACAGCTGGGGAACGTCTCGTCCCGCGCGCGCACACACACACACACACACACACACACACACACACACACACACACACACACACACACAGGATGCATCCGTCACTGGGCAGCTATCCAGGTTGTGTTACTATACTTGTGAGGACCCTCCTTGACTTAATGCACTCCCCAACCCTCAATGACAATTTTATCTACAACTTTTGTCTCATTTTTTTGTGTTTTTTTTTTCTATCTGTAATCATCAGTGCTGCAGTGGTTTGTGTATTTTGTGCTGAATCATCATAAATACAGGATTCTTGTGCATGCAGAACAACCCTCTGAACCCCAAAACTAGCCGTCGGGATTGAAGAGCCAAAACTACACCGTTCATCACACCCAGAAGATGGAGTATCATCTTTCCGACCGTCCTTAAACACATCATGTGCAACGAAGGTTTACATCAGAAAAAGCCAAAAAGAAGCCTAAAATTGTGATATCTCATTATAAATATTACATTCTACATGTCTCATTTAAAAATCCTCCTCAGCGCAACTATGAAGCCACGATTGATTCATCTGAGACCAATAGTCATGTGACAACAAGTCAGTAACACTTTGACTGAACTGCTGCTGAACACAGAGATTCCAGAGTCCGATTTCTTTTTTCTTTTTATGATTGACGTCATTCTAACTGTGTTATTCTGCACTAAAGTCATGTTGTAGTTCTCTCTACTTCTAGTCATGATGGTTGTGTTTCATAGAGGAGCAGGACTTTATATTACAGTGAGAATCAAGACCACAGAGACTCAAATGTGACAGGAGCCAAAAAATGCCGCAAAAACAGCTGTGAGTTCAGAGGGAAACACGGTACATTGATTGATGCATGTACTGCGGAGCCAAGGCCCAAAAGCACAAATTCTACACAGAAACTTTTAGCCCTAAACCTTCAGCAACATTGAGTACAACAAGCTGATTGGCTGACAGTCAGTCACACTTTGACGGGCGCAAATTAAACATCGGAGCTTTGAAAACTCCGTCTGCAGAGTCGTGTAGAAGACGAGGACGACGTGTCGGAGCTCCACCGCTGTGAGATGTGAAAGGAAACACAACCAACATGCCAACAGACATTTGAAGGCTTCAACTAGATGTGCTGTTCTGTATTTAGTGTTTTCAGTTTCAGACCATCTTCTCTTCACTTTTGTAGCCTGTTGATTTTTGGCAAAGTGTTAATCTTTCAGAGTAAAACAGTGAAATGTTCCTTATTTTCATAATGAAAATAGTTTATTAAAGTTCTGTCTGTTTGCACTAATGTCTGTTCATTTAAATGAAAACAAACGGATCAATATGCGGGTTTTTTTTCCTGCTGTATTAACCTCATAACAGAATATCAACAGAACAGCTGATCATAAAGAAGTCAGAGCCGGGTTGAACTGAGTGTTGCTATTCTGAACATAAATGCAAAATATTCTCTGACAATGAATTTTATTTGTTTTCCTACAAAATATCCACTCAGAGAAACTAAAGCAGGATTGTTATGGTTCATGTTGAGGAAACGTAAAGAACGTTGAGGTTGAGGTTCGGGAACGATGGTTTTTACTTGATATTAAAAAAAGGAGCTGTTTACTTCGTTAACATTTAATCGACCTCCATCTTTAACCAAAGTCCTCGTGTTGCTCAGGAAGTCCTGCACTTCCTGTTGCGTGAGGTTGAGGTTTGGTTCAGTTTAGAAACAAACGACCACTTTATAAAGTTCAGGGAAGCCTCGCCGTCAGGAAACAGGAAATGAACAGCGCCCTTCAGAGTAAAAGCCTGACGACGTCACCTGACTTCCTCCTTTTAAACCCCAACAGACAGATTCATAATCTCTGAAAGAAAAAAATCACGCTGTTGTTTGTCTCCCCAAAAACATTTTTTTCGTAAAAGTATTTAGTAGAATATAATATATAAAAGTAACTTATTGGAGACGAGGTTAATAAATGTCACACTTTTGTTTCAGACAGACAGGAATCATAATCCATAATCTGTTCAAAGCAAACATTCAGTTATTTTAGGCGTTTAAAAAAAAGACAACATGGGACACCTTCACTCAGTTCGTTTCAGCGTTCTTTTCTTTTAATATGTTTTTGTGTATTTGTGAGTACCGGTGTGTGTTTTTGTGTTGTGAACACTGTGAGGCTGGTTGTTTTACCTCCTATACAACACACACACACACACGCACACACACACACACACACACACACACACACACACACACACACACACACACACAGAGTCAGGTCTCTGGTGGACGCGGCGGTTTGATCAGCGCTGATACGTGTTGACAACGTCTAATCTGAAAAAATTGAAAGAAATGAATTAATATGCAAATTCATCCCTTTATAATATAAATGTCCTTGAAGAGAGTGAGACAAGGGGCCAGGGAGGGAGGGAGGGATGGGGAAAAGGGGGAAGAGAGAGGAAGACAAAAATAGGGAGAGAGAGAGACTAAAGTATGGAGGGAGAGGAAGACAAACATAAATGAGACATAATAAACAATAACTAATGTGAGAACAGGAGAAAGAAAGAGATGGACGTTTTGAAACAAAAGAAAAAGTGGAGTGATAAAAAGAGGAAAAGATGGAGGGGTGAGGGAGAACGGGAAGGAAGCAAGAAGAAGGAAGTAAAAGATGAAGATGGAGAGGAAGAAAGAGAGAGAGAAGAAACAAATGAGAGGTGAGAGTATAAAACAGAGTGTGTGTGAGGGGGAGAGAAGAGATACACAGGGAGGAGTGAACAAGGGAGGAGAGAAGGATGATACAAAAGCAAAAGCGCAAGAAAGAAGAAATAGAAAAGTATAAAACAAGGAGAGAGAGTAGAGGAAGGAAACGAGAGGGAGGAGGAGGTGAGGAGAGAGAGAAGGAGGAGAGAAGAAAGACACAGGAGGGAGATGGAAAATGTAAAGAGGACAAGAAGGAAAGAGATGGGGGAGCCAAAAAGGAATAGAGTGATTGAAGGAAACGAGAGGGAGGAGGGTGAGTGGAACAGGGCGAGGGAAGGAAAGAGGAAACTAGGCCTCTCAGGAGGAGGTGCAGCTCCAGCTCTCTCTCCTCCCTCAGTCGGTCCGTTCTCTCTCAGTCCTCCAGGAAATCAGCCTCCGATCTGACGGAGGAATAATGATGATGGAGGGAGAGAGAGAGGGAGGAGAGAGGGAGAGAGAGAGGGAGAGAGGGAGAGGGAGAGAGAGAGGGAGGGAGAGAGAGAGAGAGAGAGAGGGAGGGAGAGCGGGAGGGAGAGAGGACGGACGATCGACAGGGGAGCAGGACTCCCCTCTCTCTCTCTCTCTGTCTCTCTCTTTGTTATTCACTTTGAATTAATAGGATTAGTTTCCCCACAGAATCACACACACACACACACACACACACACAC